CCATTAACTGAAGGAGACAATGTTAAATCACCTATTTGTACAGACTACTTTTTAAAGCTAAGTTTTTAAAGCATTCTCATCTATAGACTTGCAAAACATTTGGTGATACAAACATTGATGGATGCCTTCTGCAAGGGTATTGTCTGTCAAACACATTGTTTTGCCAGTCAACATGATACATTGTAGACTGGTATTAAACATATTTCTCATGTACAGTTTGAGATATTGTAGTGTAAAAAATGCATTTAAAAGCAAGATTTTTGATAATTGTTCAGATTATTACAATAATGATCATGATGTAGTCATCCTTAATGTGTTGTAAGTCAACTGGTATATGGTCTGATTTCATTTTAACAAGACAGAATTCACATATCAGGGAAAGTTTCAAAAACACCTTTGACCCGTTATGAAAAGAGAAAAAGATATCTCATCCTACTCATGCTTTGGGATCCTCTCTCATACAACCTCTATCCAATTTTGGTAGTGTGTGGGTGTTTGTGTGTATACTGTGTGTGTGTGTGTGGCAAGGGGGTCAGCTGTTTGAGATGAAACTTTGATCAGTACCATTGCCCTCTGAATAAAAGACATCTTGCTCTTTCCCTTCAGTGCAGATGGTGTGTGTGTATGTGTGTGTGTGTGTGTGTGTGTGTGTGCCTGTTTATCAGGCTGCTTGTGGCGGCCAGAGGATGAAATGGCCATTATAGTAACACAGTAAAATCCCCTCTGCTTGCGTTTTATTTGATTGAATATATTTTATGACGGCTTTATGGAAATGACCGGACATGTACCATTTTCATGTTTTACTCAGATGCGGTCTTTTGTTTGTCACACTACAGTGTGCATCACAGAAACCACTCAAAATCCCTCACCATGGGCAGTAATAAGAATGCAAAGGGAAAACTGCTTTAAATGTTCATTCCAGATTGCAGAAAGCAAAGGCAGGATAACTGAGGCTGCGATTAGAGAGAAGAGCTCTTCCAGAGGCAGCAGTCCTATCCCGTTTTTACCACAAGAAGACTCAGTAATAGGTTTTTACTGACAACAAACCACAGGTCTCTCATTAACAGGGTGTCTTCGAGCCTCTTCAGGGAGGTAAGTGAGCTCAAACCTGATGCACCAAACACAAACAGATAATCTTATTTACCCATTTCATATGCTCTGAACTCAAGGCTTTCAATTTACTTACCTCTCAGTCGAACCCTGCTCTGACTGCTGATGAAGGACTGGCTACTGAGAATTAATCTCCAAATGTTCTGTCTGACCACAAATGCTGTTTTTTAAACTCATTGAAAAAACGTATTGAAAAAAAATGTGATTTTCTCTAGCCTTTATTTAAAATGTAATTATAATGTGTGCCTTCTAGCATGACAGCCAGAAATGGTTTTCGCTCATTCCTCATTTATACAATTTCGAGACAAGATGTAGCAAATTAGTTATACTTTAAATCATCTTTGTTTAGGTGATTTTGCTCAAAGATTTTTCACTGAGCTTATGATAGAATTGAGTCATCTCTGTGAAGTATACCTCTTTTCAGCCCCAGACTGAATATTTCTTGATCTAGTGATCAGAATGCGAGCTGAAAGATGCAGGTAAGACATCAGTGACAAAGTAAGGCTAACCTGTCATCCTTTGACAACTAGAGCTTGAAGGGGGGGGGGGGGATCACTTACACCTGAGAGATATCTAACCCAGTCATACTCCTTCTCAGACCTCCACTCCCTCACTTATCGTTCTCTCAGCCCTGTGCATGTTCTCAAATATTCATGACCATGCAGCCAGTGTCATCTTAGAATATCTAAATGGGAAGCCTAAGGCAGAAGGAAATCATCCTACTATGAAAGTCTCCGGTCTCCGGCGAATGTTAAAGCAGTCATCTATAAACCTCGCTCCATCAGTTCCCTCCCCCTCACCGTGACAATTTCTTCTCTTCTTATTTCCACTCCAAACTTCTTATGGTGAATAGATATGGCATACCACACAAAATGGCAATTTGCAAAAATATGTTTTAATAAATATTCAGAGGATGCCATATGTGATATCTGCTTTCCATTGCAGTGAATCAGCTCGTGGCACAACATCTGCTACTGGAGCTGAAAGTGGGACGTAAAACGTTTTGACAGCTGATTTGTAAAACACATACACACACACACACAAATTGCCCCATGCTCGCTCTCTCTCTCTCTCTCTCTCT